TTACGATGATAATTAAGTGTGAATATTACTCAAACTCACTGATTTTAAACCTATTTACTGGCCAGGATTATAGCGTCGTGATTTTATAACACTTGAACAAAGAGTAAAGTTTTCGTAAACAACAAATTATGTAATGATAATGAGTGAAAAATTAAAATGGAAAGGAGTTACTGTGTACATTAATGTGAAAGCCGGGCAAATCCCTAATATGACTTATTCCACTTAACTCAGTACATAATAGTTAGCCCACCTGTATTTCATGTTCTTCAGCTTGTCAAACACGACAAACACCGAACAGGCTTCACCTATTAAGCTTCTCTGGCAGTTGTTTTGGCTGCTTCCCCACTTCTCCCCACCAACTCTCCCCCAAAAGACAAACAAACAAGTAAAGGAAACCGAGCTCATGGCATGTCATTGAATTCTCAAGTACCTCAAGAAGACATTTTTGCAGCCTTCGTGGCAGGCGTCGAAAAGGGTTCGGGGAAGAAAGGGAGAAAGTGAGGGAGGAGTTTCCCTTTCGCTTCTGTTCTGCCTCTCCTCCTCCCCCCGCCACCAGACGTTTCAGACGCCATTCTGTGAACTGCCACTAAATTATCTTTGGATAATTAAAAAATCTAAGCCCTTCCGAAACTAAGAAACTTCCACTTTTCCTCGCCTTCTTCATATCGCGCAGCTCCCTACTATCTGAAAGCTTGGAGCAGGCTAAGGATAACCACAAAGTTTTTAGAAATAATAAAAAAAGCCAGGACCACGAGAATTCTACAAGAATTTCTACGTTAAGTGCGCATGCATATTAATTGTCATTATTTATTCAAAATATTTCACCGTTTTTGATTGGCTCAAATTCCCTGGCTAATTCGAGGACACTCTCCTCAGCCTCATCCAATAATTGCTAATTAGCGCTTTCCGAATTAACTCATCAGAAATTTTCTCTATTGCGCATGCGCAGACCCGAGGCTCTTGTTTGTTTTGGTGATGAGAGTGTCAGTTTTCTGCAGTCCCTTCTGAAAAATTATTATATTTTCCATGGGCAATAATGTTGAGGGTCACATCAAGTCAAACCAAGGCTAGACTATGGAACGGAATAAGGCGCTGTGTGGAGATCAGCAGGATTTATAATCTAAGCTAATCACCTTATATTACCTAAACCCACTGTCGTATAGTGACTTTGCACTTGGTATACTTAATTACTAATTTGTTTCTTTGTTTGTTCGATTATATACTTATTAACGTAC